ATGGCCGACTCCACACACACACACACATACAGACTGAGAGAGACGCTAACACATATGGACAGAGATCACGCCACTTGAGGCTCTGTTGCCAAGTTTCTGGGGCTGGCTTGGCCTGGCTCGGCGGGCAGGTACGGTGGGGCCTGGCTTGACGGAAATGTTGCCGTTCGGATGGGCACGCTAAGATGTTGATGTTTACGTTTACCTGAAGGCAAAGGCGAAGCCGGAGCGATCGGTAACATGTTTTATGCATCCGTGGCAATGGAAAAAATGTATATATATATATAGAAAAAAAATACAATGTTAAGAAGAAAACAACAACAACAACGAAATACTTTTAAAGGCAACGCGAAATGGCGAAGGTCGTTTAAAAGCCATGCACAGTTTATGTTTTCGATACCCTTGAAAATGCTCAAACTAGGGTATATTGACTTGGCAGAAGAAGGCAGCTGCTACTTAATTTTATTTATATCGATAAATATCGATTATGAAAAAAAGCTTTTACCAGGCACAGCTGGAAGTTTATAATGTGCAGCTTGTACAGGGTATCTTCTAACCGGATACCAGTCTTGCTATACGTTAGCTATGCAAGCTTTGTGCTTTCTTTACTCTAGCTATAAAAAGGGTTTCATTGTTTTCTGCAAAATATAGGGGCTACATCGAAGCATGTAGCTAAACACAAAAGCTCTTGATTTGAAGAGTATTGAGTGCAAATTGAGTTCACATTTTTCGGTTGTGGGATAAACCTTTTTTGGGGCTTTTGCATATTTAAGTTAACCGAAGCGTTACCCATAGTAGTGCGTCCGGGGCTGAGATTTATTTTGCGAAACTGAATGACATTGATAAGAGAATCGGCTAATTGCCTCTGTGGCGGACGTCAACACAGTTTTCGAATTTTCAAAATGTTGTTTATTTTTCATGTGTGTGTGTTTTTTTTTTTGGCTTTTTGCGCTGGTTCCCATCGTAAAGCCGTCGACTGGTTTCCTTTTGGGCGACGCGCTCCGATTTTGTCAGTCAGTCAGTCAGTCAGTCGAATTGTGGTTTTCTTTTTGCCATTTCGCAGCATTTTGTCGATTCCAGTTTCGTTTGGGGAGTTGGCCAGCCGCCTGATTGCTTCTTACATACTTGGTATGTGGGTCAAGCTGCGACACCGAAGCCTCACGCATAATGTATTGATGCAGTACACAGCAGCACCGTCCAGGTGGGCACGACGAGCATATCGCTCATGAGGTGTTATTATCCGTTGTAAATGTACACAAAAAGAAAATGTATGAAATTATTGTGCCATATTATAAGCACTTTAATGGAGGATCTGGCACTGGACTTTGATAATTGACTTTCCTTAGTAATAAATATGATAGGGCGCTTTAGAGACAATTGGGGATTTCAGCCCAAATAAATAACTAAGTTCATACTGAATAAAAAAAAATCAATTGGGCATACTTCTTGTAAATAGACACATTTTGTAAATCTATCGAGCCTCTCGGCCGACCTTTCAAATTTCCTACTCATTTTCATATCATGTCCATGTCTATTAAATTGTTTAACCACAATTGATAGTCAATTAGGTTTCAATCGAATCCGTTTGGCCTCTAAGCGAATCTTTGATCAAACTTTTTTCTGCTGTTGCATAAGCACTTCATATGCAACATGTTGCAAGGGGGGAGGGAAATGAAATAAAAAAAAACTTTCTACAATTATTTTGAAAAGTATTGAACTTTTCTACTACTTCACGCGATTTACGCAACTTTCACGACCGGCAACAAAAACCACAAACCACATGCAACAACAACATCTGCAACAACAACAAAAACAACAATTTATGGCTGCAACAGTCGCTTGCAACGATATGAAAAGCTCCATTGGACTGGCCCACGCAATGTTAAGTCGAAGAAACAAAAACAACAGCACAAGAAAAAAAAAAATAACAGCAGAAAGAGTGAAAAATGAAACCCTTTAGGAAATTTGTATGAAATCTGGCGGCCAATGCATAAATCCGTTTAAAATCGCTGTGCATCGGGCTAACATAATGCGGCAACTGCACCTCCGAACAACACCAACGCAGACCCTGGGGTTACGATTTTGGAGGCGCTGCCGGAGCACAGTGGGCAACGATCGAATGTCAATGAAAACTTTATGGAAATCTCGCATCTCTCAAGAGGAGCTTTGTTTATGTAAATCGAAGCTAACACTTTTAACGTTTGTGTAATGTTAACTCACTGTTAAGTTAGCAGCTGCCCGATAACATGCGCTCGATTGTAACGATAGTCAAATCAATCGATATTTAATCGATAAGTTTTGGCTGTTTGTTATTCGCTCATGTTAACCAAACGTTAAGGTGACAACAGCCCACTTACATGCTTTCGATTGTAACGATAGTCAAAAAATCAATATTTAATCGATAAGTTTTGACTGGCTCTGTTAAATAGCATGTTCAGGCAATTTCGGTGCTCATCCCCAAGTGTAACAAGTTGTTTCATATGGCATTTGCTAGTCGTTCGTGTTAACCAATGGTTAAGTTGACAGCAGCCCAATTACATGCTTTCGATTGCAACGATAGTCAAAACAATCGATGATTAATCGATAAGCTTTTTAAATTATTCGTTCTTGAACAAGTGTAGCTAAGCCGTTGCATGTAAAATTTATAAGTCATTTATATACATTGGTCCACTGTGCAATGCTTGGGTATATTGCAAATCGAGGACAGAGCCTATCGGCATGGTATGGATCGCATCGCATCGCATTGTGGCTGTATTAATGAGTTTAAACGCACGCCTAACACGAATAATGCCACTGGTGCCGAGACTCGTGGACTTCGAGAGCTTTGCCAGTTGGCTAAGACAGAGATTAGGCCAACTATAGATCGTGGCATCGCGGGGGCGACTTTGGCGTTGGCAGCACATCGCATATCAAAATGACACTATTATAGTATTATGCCAATCGTTATTAATATTGTGTGTGGGATCGTGCCCCGCATCATATGGGGGCGATTGTCAAGTGGCACACGTTTCGCTTGGGCTGGGAAAGGCCCTCGGAATGGTAAGTTTATCGTCTTTGTTCTGCTTGTAAATGTCTGAAGACCATAATTTATGCTAGCCCACAAAACAGTCGACTAAATTATTCCATTGACCAAGTTTTTGATTTGGTAAAAGCGATTTATCAATATGTTTTTAATTTGTCGTTGTTTTTTTCCTTTTTTTCAGTCACAATTCCTGGAACAACACCTACAATATTAATGAATGAATCCGCATGGACAGGTGAGTGATAGCTAAGATAAGATCGAATTTATTCGACAGTATGTCATTGAACCTATGTCAATGCGAGCCACTGTTTAAAGCTCGCCTTTCTATGCGATTTTCATAAACGATAGCGAGCGAGTGAGAGCTAAAAACGAGTGAAACGAGTAGATTGAAATTGATTTTGTAACAATAATATGTTTAAATTCATTCTCTACAATAGCATATATTTATTATTATATCAATAACATGCCTTGGGTAGAATACATGCCAATCTTCTCGGGTATTTATTTAAGCAATTACAGATATTTATTTATTTTTTTTTTTGGAATTTATGTGCTTGATTTCGTACTGACAGTTGACAGTGACAGCGTTTGAAAACACCAAATGGCCGCCGGCTGGCTGGCGCACAAATTCGCAGACAAACTCAATTTTTGAAGCCAATTTCGTCTTGTATGCAAATTTTTGTGTAGTTTTTTAATTAACGTCGACACAATTTAGCCGCTTTGTGCACTTGCTCGGCCTGGATTTCGCCGTAACGGCTGTTTACCTCCGCCCAAAAAGATCTAATATTGAATCACGATTGTGCATAGTTTTAAGCACACTTTGCACATAATTTGTGTGTAATATTTACTTATGCTAATCGCGGCCATTAATCAGGCTTGTTAACAACATGGAACACGAGCCAAGGGCTCGAAACATCAACACAATCAACACAATCAGACAATCAACTTTATAAACTTTTGCTAAAGAAAAAACCTTTTCAGTTGTTTTCTACTCAAATGAAATTGATGGATTTTTAAATGGAAGAAAACTCCTTATAAATGAGTACAAATATCGCAATGGCATCGACAATGAATTATAGTAAATACAAATTACAGGGTATTTAGGGTATCCCGTATTTATTGATATCCGTATTATTTGCGTTTATAGTAAATTTCCACATGGGCAATATTTATTTGATGCACGTGCCACGGAAATCGAGTCGCAGCATCCAAAACAACAAATTGTTGTACAAAGTGAACAAAAAAAAAAAAACAAAACCAAATAAAAAACTTACACAAACGAAAGTTGAAAACATACATCATGAAAATGCGGCACAAAGCTCGGGGAAATACAATGGGCCACAAAAAGCCGACGCACTTTTCGCTTTTGAAACGAGGCAAGCGGAACGCGCCGATTGTCGGAATTCAGGTAGTATATACAATATAGGCCCATGGCTGATGAAACGATAATTTACACGATCCGGCTAACCGTGCCCGTGCTGCGTTTTCCCCTTCCAAATTCATGTAGTCAGCGCGTGCGCAGCTCACGGCTCGTTGAGCAGACGGACAAACCTGTAGAAAAAGGGGGGGGGGGGGGGGGGGGGGGACAGAGGTGTCGAAAGCGCAGACAAATATTACACATTTAATTATGACAAGTCGGGTCTCTGTTGTTGCCCCTGCCAGTTGATGCTTCATCACCGCCAACTCACAAAAAATATAATGAAAAAAAAAATGTATTACAACAAAATTTCGACTGAAATGCAGCTTGAAAATGTCGTGGGATGTTGTCTTTTGAAAGTTGATAAAGTGCTTAGAATAAAGTAAAATTTGTTTATCATAAGATGAGAACTTGACTCCAAATAGTACAGAGAATAGAGTTAAATTGTTTTACTATAAGATTTCTCATCGAATTTTCATATATTGTTATAAAAATAAATGTTAGATAATGTTCAAGTCAGCCCCGTTTCCCCTCGTATAAGTGAAGTCAAAACTGGGCCTAAGATTAAGTTATTTTATCAGCTAAATTTATTTATCTAAACTTCGTCTTTTTATAAGGTGCATTGCATTAAGTGCTCGGCGTTCTGATCAAGTTCTCATACAACACGCTGTGATCCTCGCGAATGTGTCGCTGCAAACGCAGGAGTTTGCGATGCAGCTTGAGGTACGGCTGCATGCTGGCCGTTAGGCTGGCCAGGAGACCCTCTCGCACCAGCTTGACGGTGCTCAGCTGGTAGAGATTGCCGGCGGCGATCATGCAGGTTAGTTCGTCGTCGCGGTTCTGCAGTAGAACCAGGTGCTCCTCGATCTTGTTCATGCGCAATTTGAGCTCCTCTTTTTCGGCAATTAGATCGCGTTCGCGTATCTTCTGATCGAACAGATATTCCATTACTTCCTCCGAAATGTTCGAGTATTGTTGCGCCAGCGCCATTTTCGATAAATGAAGAATTTCGAAATTAAAAAAATAAATATATATTTTTTTTTTTTTGTAAATAAGCTATTTACTTTTTCAATGTGTCAGACGGAGTGTACGAAATTTATACACTCGATTCGACATGAATTTCAAATTATTGTCGATCAAATGGAATTGGTTTTCGATCGCGGACCCAGATCAGGCGTGGGCTAAACTAGTTAGAATCCAGAATTCTATTAAAATTATTGTTCTATTGAACAAGAAAAGAGATTTGATGTGGAACTAGTTTTACGAAACGATCTTTAAAGCAAGCCATTCGCTGGTTTTTGATTGCGGGCCCAGATCAGACTTGAGCTAAACTAGTTCGAATCCAGAATTCTATTAAAATTATTGTTCTATTGAACAAGAAAAGAGATTTGATGTGGAACTAGGTTCACGAACCGAACTTTAAAGCAAGCCATTCGCTGGTTTTTGATTGCGGACCCAGATCAGGTTTGAGCTGAACTGGTTCGAAACCAGAATTTCATTAAAATTATTGTTCTATTCAACATTAAAAGGAATGTGATGTGGAACTAGGTTCACGAACCGAACTTTAAAGCATGCATTCGCTGGAACCGTAAACCGAGTCAGCAAAAAAGTGTGCTGGGTTTACAGTCAAGCCCAACCCGTATCATGTTACGAACAGTCTAAGGGCCCCTGCCCTTTGGCATAATAACAAATATAGTTTATTATTTATTTAAGTTTTATCAAGTTTATTCAACGAGCGCCTCACACCTTATAAATCGAGGCGTGTTCGTGGAATTCCGCCAAACCCAAACAATGGAGCCAACAATGCCATGCTAATAATAATAATAAATTATTAACACCTTCCGATAGATGCTCAGATTCTTGGTCTATTGATTTTGCTATTTAAACATTATATTCTACAAATGGCTCGGTTAATACTTATAAATTGTATAAGCTTCAATGCCTTTGTCTTTGTCGTGTCCAACATAATTTTGATTTATGTAAATTTACTTAATGGCCTTTTGTTGTTGGCTTTTGTCAAAGTGTTAAATGGCTAAGCATATTTTTATACCCTGAACCCCTTGAAAATGGGTAAAAAGGGTATATTGTATTTGTGCAAAATGCAAATGTATGTAACCGGCAGAACGAAGCATCTCCGACCCCATATAGTATATATATTCTTGATCAGCACCAATTGCCGAACCTAGAAATTTTAGATGTGCTCCTAGTGCCTGCGCAGATCGAGTTTGTTGCCGATAATCGATAACTCACTCCGTTTCCAAGCAATCGATAAAAATCGATATCGATATCCTGTTTTTTGGGCAATTTTAGTAAATAATAAGAGCTAGAGTCACCAAACTTGACATATAGCTTCTAAAATAAAATATATGCATTTGATGTTGGAAGAAGAGGGTTCAGGGTATCCCCTAGTCGGGAAATCACGACTAGAACCTCTTGTGTTTTTTTTTTTTAAATCTTTGGCATTTGTGTCAACTACAACTATTTGATTTATCAAGTGTTTCAGAGTGAAAATAATATCTAATAATATTAATATCTTCAATGGAAATAGTCATGGATTTTGTTTCATGGTTTTAAACTAGTTTCACATTACGTTTTTTTTTGTTATTCTTAGAGTTAAAATTTATTATTTATTGTATTATTGTTTATGCAAGCGAAAGTCTAGAGCTTGTTTAGAGATCATAAATAAGTTTTATTGATTTTATTTAAAGAATTTCATTTGTTTCCTTATCCCCTTTTATGAGTATATATAAAGTGGTGCCTTATTTTCTCATTGCTTACAAAATTATTTAATGTCTAGATTTTTTTGCAAAATAATTATATTTGATTAAAAACGTCATATCTGGGCACAGTTACGTAAATATGGTAAAATTTTTTTGAACTTTCGCATATCTTGGATATGCAAGTCTTTATATCATACATTTATGTGGAAGACCACACACAGATGCGACCGCACACTTTTGTTGGGGTCAGTTATGGGCATTTAATCCTTTTCTTTGGGACAGCAACAAAAGCAACAAAAGCGAGCATTACCGAAAAAGGGTGCGTTGCATGGGGCATTCAAGTTGATTTATAAGGCTGGCATTTCGTGTACCTCATATTTCTATGGCTTTCACTGTCGCACATAAATTGTGTGAGCCGCAACACCCACAGCCGGTGAAAATTAACTTGAAATGAAGACATTAAACGAGTTGGCAACAGATATAAAAAAAGTCGACAAAAAAAAACAAAAAACCTGGCAAGGAAGGCGCGCCAATTGAAATTTATGTAAATTCGGCTTCTTTTGTGGAACAAAGTTGGCTTCTGGATTAGAGCTTAAGACCAAAGACTTTGGTAAGACACACCCCGTCGCCGAGCTGCTATTCCCAATTTGGGGCCAGGTCTCAGACAAAAATAAATGTGTAGATCCTCAAGTCGAGTCAATTGCTTGTAATTGCTGTCGTCTGTGTTTGGTGTTTTTTTTTCCAGCTTTTACCTGACAAAAGTTTCTGTTTACATTTATGACTCTACAAAATTTCACTTCTAAGCGTTACAAACACAAAACTTTGTGTGTGGTCCACAAAAGGTCTTCTTTTTTTTTATTATTATTATATTTCTTGGGCAATTCGCTAAAATAATAGGAACTTGTTTACACACAGTTTTTACAACACGCTACGAAAATAAAACCCTTTAACAAAAATGCAACCTAGTTGGTCGAGTGTAAAAAAAATCGTTACAATTTTTGGGAAAGTTCGGAAAATGGAAAAATTGTTAGACTATATTCACTGGCTTCTTTGAAGAGATTATAAGACAGTAAGCTGTTTTACCCGAACATTCGTGTTCAATGTAAGGCAAAGAAATGGAAAATCGCTGGTTCAAATCTGGCAGCAGCAATTGCCTTCAAACAAGTAAAAGTACTTTTAGTCTCTTATAGTTATAGACATGTCAACGTTCATATTAAGAAGAGAACACTTTGTTAATTCTCACACTTAAGAATGCCAAATGTAATGCAACTAATTTGCACAGTGTCTGTCATAATTCTGTGGACCATTGCGCTGCGCTGTCCGCTGTTGGCCATTAAAAAGACGCGACATAGTCTTGGTGAGTCTTGGTGTGATTATTGCATAGCCTTTAATTTGACAACTGAAAGGCATGAAATGACACCACAGCCAGAGCCGGAGCCAGAGCCGGAGCCAGTCATTAGTCTGTCTATATAAAGAACAATTCCAACAAATCTCTGTGAGCGCCATGCTCAAAATCGAAACTTTGCTCGTTTTATGCTTTTCGAAAAGTTGTAAATTGAGTTAGCTCCAAGTTTGGCGGACAGCGCTCTAAATTTTATGTTATTTTTATTTATTTCTCTTCTTTTTCTCTTTTTTCAAATAGACGAATACAAAAAAAAACGAGGTTTGTAATCGATTTGCGCGAATTTCGGTGCGAGTTTCGATTTGGATTCAAAAGTGTTTTTGGCGTGCGGCATGTTCGGAATATTTAATTTTTTAACTGACATCATTAGGGACACAGCAGGTGGAATTGTAAAATATCAATATTTTGATTTGGGTTGTTGTTGTTTTTTCTCATAAATTACGAATTCAAAGCAAGAAATTAGCATAAAACCCAGCCACGGCCCATTTATTTCTGTTACAGTAGGAGTTGTTAAAACTTATTTATGTCGAGCGTTATATAAAAAAAAAAGGCAAAAAAATTGATAAATTAGTGCGACTACAATAAATCGTAATTTAAATAAAATCATCGTAAAACTATTTATATGTAAATGCCATTTTGATCAGCATGGGGGAATTTCGGGCAAAACAGATGACAGGAGTTGGGCTTGTAAGAGATTTGGTTTATTTGGAATACTATCTTGAAGGAATGCCGCAGAGAAAAGTTATAAGAAGAGCGAGAAGTAGAGGGTTAAAAGAAAGAAAGCTAGACCAAGTGGTGTCAAGGGATGGGGTATGCAAAATACATTGCAAAAGTTCCAAAACATATGAAAATTTAGAAAATATATAAAGATTCTAGAAAAATGTATAAATGCCTGGGTTTGGTTCGAGAAATTAATCACAGATTAGTACAGATTTGTATCTATTATCTCCAGTAAAACTGAAAGTTTGGATCCAGTTCGGACTCGGATTCAGTTTGGTTCACTCAAAAGAACCTGTTTTGAGCGGACACTTCTTTAAAATATGCGCAATGTCTGATTTAGGCACTCTTATCTGCCAGATATTGTGCGCATTAGTATTATACTTATATATATATATTATATATATGGTCGCATATTTTTGCATATATTTAACCCGTTGTACAAATTAATGAGCGCGCTTTAAGCGAAGTTCGATCATTTTGCCTGCCCATTAGTTCGTTTACGTATTAATATTTTCGACACTTGATTTGTTTCGATTCGTATTATTTGAAATATTTACACAATTCTCAAATGAAATATGTAATTTCAATTTAAATTAGTTGCCAAACACGCGGCCACGCAGTTGGTTCCGCGTTGATTTGGAACCTCTTTTGGTGCCTCTTATCGCCTATAAATGGTGTCATAAATTCATAAGTTGTCAGCCTGAGCTTGAACCTGAGCGCTGGGCGGGTCGTCGACTCATATTTTGTATATTGATAAATTAAGCCAGCTGCCTTAATTTTCAATTATGTTTGGAAAAAGAAAAAAAAAAACAAAAACAAACGAGCTTGCGGCTTGACAATTGAGCATTTTGTTTGGGCTTTGGTTTTGAGGCATTTTTCAGTTGACATTTATTTTTATTATTTTTATCGCATAATATTTTATAAAGTTTTATTGTATAGTTTTTATGTCTTTTGCTGGAAAGTCGCTTAGCATATTTCCATTTTTAATAGCTATGCGTGGCCTTTAATTACTTGCCAATGAGCTTTAAATTTATGACTGTTTTCTATTTATACCCCGGTTCCATAAAAAATGCGTGGAAAGTGTCTAAAATCCCTTCGAAGAATATATATTCGCATATACTGCTTAGCTCTGTTTGCAGGGTATTCTCTCGTCTATCATATTTAGTTGCCTTAATTGCTTCGTATCTGTTTTTTTTTTAATGTTTTTGTATTGTCCTCAATCGATGTGCAC